TCTAACAGTTAACTGAAAAGCCGTTATAGTAAGGAAGAGATTCAGAAAGTGACTGGTTATAAAATAAATATACAAGAACAGTTCAGTCTTCTCTTGACCAGCAAGAGTCAGGTCAGAAAACATTTTTTTATTTGTTTTTACACACACATATATAAATCTTTTTAAACTTTATTAGTAAGTATGATGAGACTTTTCATTTTTCTGTCCACTATTTAATTAAAATACGAGTTTATTTTGGTGCAAAAAAAAGTGTGAAATCCATACATAGCTTTTTCATACTACACATTCCCACATGCTTTTTGAAGACTTCTTCCTTACCCTCCAAGGTGTATGTATCCGTGTGTGTGTGTGTGTGTGTGTGTGTGTGTGCGTGTGCGTGTGGAGAATGAGAGAAAAAGCCTATTCACAGCATTAATAAGTAAAATATAGGCCAGTCCCAGGGCCTAGTAGTAGCTGAGGTAGCCAGATCAAACACGTACAAACGTGGTTTGAACCCTGGCCCTGGCAGAGTGAAAAAATGTTGGGAGCACGTGCGTACATGCCCAAAATCCCAGCGAGATTTAGAAAGGAAGATGGGATTGCGGCCTGACCATACCCCACTGGAGGATGCTCACTCCCTCTCTCTCTCTCACCCCTCCCGCCTTCTTTGTCTGTTTCTAGCAAGTGTTCTACCTTTTTATCTTATTTAGGGACACAAAGTTTCTAACTAAGAGATAAACCACTCTTGCTAACCAACACTTGTTACTTTGTTTTTAAATGAATACTTGCTACACAAAACTGACACTTCCTTTTCCATACTTCTCAAGGCAAGAGAGCCCTGAAGAGAACTTCAACTATTTCATTAAAACACGAGTTTATTTTGGTGCAAAAAAAAAAGTCTGAAGTCCATGCACAGCTTGAACCGTGGTCGGCCATGTGGGAGTCCAGCATCCCAACAACTAGGACACCCGCCTGTCCCCGTAATTATCAATATTTCTGATCATTTATTTCTTATAACATTTCCACAATAGGTATTACTTTTAATAATGGGGGACGGAAGCTTTTTCCTAATGGCAGGCTAAACTATTAGGTCGTTGTGAAGTCATGATGCGTTTTTACATTTAAAAAAACAATATAATCCCAATGTGATTATTGGACCAAATATATCCACTATAGAATTATTTCTTAAGACCACAGCTATCCTGCCAAAAGTTGTAAGGTTAAATCCAACTGATTCTAAAAAGGCAAACATTCTTCTAAGTGTAACTTCATGACCAACACCAAGTAAAGGTTAGCATTCCTATACTAACGAAACGTTTTGAGAACTTTATGATCATTGACAATGCCGATTTCAAATCTCTTAAGAGTACTTTTGTTTCAGAAAAGGAATCCAGTAACCACCTTTTCTAAGAAACTAAGAAAAAATGCTAAATCTGCCATGGTAAATATTTGGAAATACTGGGGCTGGCAGGTGGCATGGTGGTAAAAGCATTAGACTCCCACATGGCCAACTGTAGTTTGAGTCCTGGACCTGGCGGCTTGCTCTCTCTCTCTGGTGAGTGCACAAGTCCTATAGCAAATTTTAAAAATAGTAATAATAAAAATTAAATCATTCTTTTAAAAAATATATTTGGAAATATTTTTATGAAATCAGTCACAGAAATTCAGGCAACACTGAATGACAACTAAGTGAAGTTATCTGTTGATGTTTTTCATCCAGATTAGTGGACATTTAACGAGCACTTCCCATACATCAAGCCTTACACTGCCGGAGTTCTCTGTCAGGAGATAAGCACTGTGATGAATAAAATTACACACAAATTTATACATCTACATATGCAATATTTGTATTATCTTCTTTTCCAAAAATTCAAAAAACTGTGAAAACCAGAAATTGTTTCTAAGTAGCCAACGAAACTTGACTGTACCAAGGTGAGGTTTTTGGTGGTATCCATACAATTTCTCTGGAACAATTAATATGTACAATAATGGGGTGACTGCTCCCATACACATCAAGTCTCATGACATACAGCACACGTGCCATCTTGTCTAAATGCCCAGTTTTTTTACTCTGAGACATATACTCATGGGTGGCAGATAAGGGTCTATAGACCAAATGTAAAAAAATAATTCCTTTCTCTTCTCTTGGGAGTTTGGGCACACACGCACGCACATGCGCCTGGCATGTATTTCAGGACACCGGGTCTGGGCTTCGAACCACAGACAGACGTGGGAATCCAGGGCCATAACTACCACGCCACCTACTGGCCTCTATCACTCGATTTATGCGGTGTCTGAAGTTACTATACTGTCGCACAGGCATTAAGTTTAGAAGGCATATGCATTTATAGAATGGTAGACAGGGTCCTAAGCACTGGGTGCACTTCTGAGAAGGCACTGACAGCTGAGCCTTGCTGTTGACACTGCCTTCCTTCCCAAACTCACCACCATCCCAGGAATGGAGAACTGATACTCCTATGAAAGAAGTAGCCCACTGGCCCTCCCACAAATCCCTCCTCCTCCCCCTGCTCCCTCAGGCCTCCCATCCCCCCCCACCACCACTGTGATCTCAAATTTCTAAGCTCTAGACGGTACACACTGCCATTCTAGGGATCTATCCACGTAAGAGAAAGTCTTGGGTGGGAGCCCAGGCGCGCTCCTCGCACTGGTGCTGATAATGGGCAACGCTTTCAGTGGCCCGAGAAGAAGCGGGTTGGGGGAGGAATACGTCACCTTTTAAAAACACTAAGTATTCAACCTAAAAGATCATCCTCTGCCCAGCGGTGGTGGCTCAGGCACAGGGATGCTGCCCTGTACTGTGGGAGGACTGTGGGTTGCATCTGGGGCCTACCTCAATTCTGGGGAGCTCACAGGAAGACCCAGTCACGGGTCCCAGTTCCCCTCCTCCTATCCTCCCTCGTGAAGGAAATGAACTTTAAAACAAAAATCACCCTTTATAATAAGGATTACGCATATCTTTATTTTTTGCTGTGAAAATAAGATAATAATGAACAATGTTTGTTTTATTGTTCTCACTGGCCAAATAAAGTCTGCAAACCAGGCAATCCCTAAACCTAAATATAAGGATAACAAAGACAGAAAACAATCCAGTCAGTCTTCAAAACCTGAATATCAGAACTGACAAACGTAGACTAACTCTACCGTGTAGACATCCGGTAGAGGCAGGGAAGGAAGGCGCGAGAAACCCATGAAGACAAAAGGAAGTAGGTACCCCTCCATGTTCCAGCGACACAGAGAACTGGACTGGTCCAGGAAACAAATGCAGAGCACACAGAAACTTCGCAAGGTGCAATATCACACTCAGAAAAGATGACGAGCCTCCAGGCGTCTTACCCTCGAAGGGAATATGGGGGAAATGAAAGGATGACAAATTTGACTTTTAAAATGAAAGTAAAACTCAATTCTCAACAGTACTAGGAAACAGAGATCAAAGAGAGTATTATTTACTTTCTAAATAATAAATTAACAGCAACACAAAGGCAGCATGTAGAAGGTTGGTAAGAGCAGAGAATCCAGAGTCAGCCAGCCAGAATCCCAGCTGTTAGCTGTGCAAACCCAGGCAGGAGACGCACCCTCTCTCGGCTTTAGTTTCCTTAAAGACTGTTACGGTTAAATGACCTAAGATAGGCAAAGCACTTCGATCTGTGCCCGGGACTTAGTAAGTACTTCCAAAGTACTACCATTAAGTATTATTTTCTACTATGAAGAAATAAAGGTAAAGGACTATGGGCCAGCAGGTGGCGTGGCATGGTTGTTAAGGCACTGGACTCTCACATGGTCCACCACGGTTTGAGTCCTGGACCTGGTGGCGTCCTTTCTCACCTTCCCTTTCTCTCTCCCTCTCTCTGGTCAAAATAAAAATAATTAGTTAGTTATAAAAAGGTAAAGGACTAGAATGACGATGGCACAAAAATTTTGATGCTACATGTAGTTCCTGTGGAACTTTCCTAAAGTTTCACAAACGTTACATACAACCATTGTGATGCACATATTGTACGAGGTTATGGTGACACCTGTAAACAGTTTATGTTTAAAAATAACATTAGGAAAAAACTCTGAATCCAGTTAGAATACCTTCAGTGAAGTGTGACTCAGTTGTTTGCTCCCAGGGTTCAGAAATCTACTACCCAACTGGGGCTACATCTGACTGAGAGGGAGCATTCACTCAACACTCTTAGCAACACGAAACTTGGCTCCAACCACCACATTCAGATACACAGGATTTTTAGGGTGCAGGTTGACAAAACCTAATTACAGCTAAACAAGTCTTTCAGCTAAAAGTAGACCAAACTGCTTTGGGAAAATTCAGAGTTAGGTGATGCAGAGACCTCGGGGCATGTAAGGTTTTTCTGCATTCTTCCCATATTCCTGTGCAATCCAGACTTGGCCTGTTCACTGCACACGGGACCTTCCTAGGCAAGCTTTCTGCGGTCAGTCTGCCATCAGTCCCTTGTCCCAGCCACCCCTACAGTCAGGGTGAATGATGAACAGGAGCATATGTAGGGACACATCACTTTGTTCGCACACGGCTTACCTACACTCTGGCTAGTCAGGGTGCCTTGTCCGGCAACTCCTCTGAAGCTACAGCACAGACCCACTGAATCGAAACCTACATGTTCAACAAGATCTCCAGGTGACTCCTACATGCTGGGCTGATGCCTATCAACAGTGCCGGCGGCTGGAAACGCTGAATAGAAAACGCTCCCTCTCTCTATTGGAATTCAGAGATACATTATGAAAATTACCCAGACGGGGAAGCAGAAAAGTCCAAAGAAAATGAACTGAAGTATACATTTCTTAGCTACTGAAACCAAAGGTGTTCGAAAGGACTGAAGTATTAACAGCATGACCCTAATAATAGTCTTACTGGGACAGTATTTTGCTAGACAAAGTACAAAAGACTCGAGTCTAGAAATGCCCGCCCAAGCGTAGGTTAAAATTGGGGGGTTTAGTCCAATTCGGAGTTGACACATGGAGACGCTTTCCGAAGACTCACTCACAACCAATCTAAGGATGAAAACTTCCAAACAGCACAGTTCTGGCACTCCTAGACCAGGGGCACAGGGAGGGCCGAGCTTGTTGGGGAGTTGAAACTTGCACTCCCTGCCAAGTTCGGCTCACGGCCGGGCAGCCCCGCCGGCGCTCACACAGGTGGGCAGCTGGGAGTCGCACCAACTCCGAACTCGGGCCGGCTGCTTGCACGCAAGTGAAGTCGCGCTCGTCTTCTGAAGCACGCCTTTGGAAATGCTGGGTTTCCGGGCGCTTCGCTTCCGGCCTGCAGAGGAAGCCGGCGGGCCGCGGCGGCGAGGAGCAGGGAGCGCTC